ATTCTCCCGTGCTCCTGAAGGGATGAGACCAGTGGAGTATCTTAGATGGCTGCTCACAGGCTTTTAAGACCCCAGACGCTACTCATCAAGGTAGAATGTAGAACATTGTCTTTATAAACTGTGTTACGCCAACTGAAGCTCACTTAAATCTTGAGGTGGCTCTTAAAGATTCCTATTACATTTAACACATCATGCCAGAACCTCTAATGTGTTACGTATCTTAGCCATTTTAGAAAACCTCCTGGCTGAGATAAAATGTATGTACAGACTCTGATATCCCTGGTTACTGTGTTTAGAAAGAGAGCTCTTAATTTATACTTTTGTGATTTGCACAAGTGCATTTTACCATTTAACAACAGCTGGGTCCTAAATGATTAAATTTTAAATGGTTTTATTATTACCAATGTTAATTCCAAGTAAAAACACTCTCATTTGACTTATATCATGTTTAAAAGTGCAATATAGTTTACTGAAAAGTTTTTCCAATAGATAATACCTTCGAAGTTTGAAATTCAGTATGAAGTTTAAAAGTATACTTTCTGAAGACTTGTTCCTACTCTTGTCCTCACTCAGCTCATCCCTCTTCCCCCAGCTTCTTTTAAATAACCACCTTTATTCCTGTCTGAAGCATCTTGCCAGTGTTTATGTATAAGTGGCAAATAGAATTTTTATTTCCATAGTTTGTTACACAAAAGATAGCATGGGATTTACACTTTTTTTTTTTATTGTGTTCTAGGTGAAAGTTTACAGCTCAAGTCAACTTCTCATATAAAAACTTATATGCATATTGTTATGTGATACTAGTTGCAATCCCCAATATGTGACAGCACTCTCCCCCTTTCCAGCCCGGGTTTCTTGTGTTCGTTCAATCATTTCCTGTCCCTCCCTGCCTTCTCATCCTGACTCTGGACAGGAAGTGCCTATTTGGTCTCGTGTGTCTTCTTGAACTAAGAGGCACACTCTTCATGAGTATTATTTTATGTTTTATAGTCCAGTCTAATCTTTGAAGAGTGGGCTTTCAGAAATGGTTTTAGTTCTGGGTTAATAGAGCATCCGGGGGCCATGGTTTTGAGGTTTCCTCCAGTTTCTGTCAGACCATTAAGTCTGATGTTTTCATGTGAATTTGAATTCTGCTCCACACTTTTCTCCCGCTCCATCAGGTACTCTCCGTTGTGTTCCCTGTCAGGGCAGTCATTGATGGTAGCCAGGCACCATCTAGTTCTTCTGGTCTCAGGCTGATGGAGTCTCTGGTTTATGTGGACCTTTTCCTTTTGGGCTAATATTTTCCTTGTGTCTTTGGTGTTCTTTATTTTCCTTTGCTCCAGGTGGGTTGGAATCAATTGATGCATCTTAGATGGCCGCTTGCAAGGTTTTAAAACCCCAGACACCACTCACCAAAGTAGGATGCAGAGTAATTTTTTTTAAAATTGTACTTTCAGTGAAAGCTTACAATTCAAATTAGTCTGTCATACAAAAATTTATACATACATTGTTATGTGACCCTAGTTGCTCTCCCTATACAGTGACAGCACACTCCTCCTTTTTATCCCTGATTTCCCGTGTCCATTCGACCAGCTTCTGACCCTCTCTGCCTTCTCATCTCGCCTCCGGACAGAAGCTACCCATTTCGTCTCATGTATCTACTTGAGCTAAGAAGCACACTCTTCATGAGTATCATTTTATGTCCCATAGTCCAGTCTATTCTTTTCTGAAGAATTGGCATTGGGAATGGTTTTAGTTTTGGGATAACAGAGAGTCCAGGGGCCATGTCTTCCAGGGTCTCTCCAGTCTCAGTCAAACCATTAAGTCTGGTCTTTTTACTAGAATTTGAGTTCTGCAACCCACTTTTCTCCTGTTACATCAGGGACTTTCTGTTTTGTTCCCAGCCAGGGCGGTCATTGGTTCTGGCTGGGCACCATCTAGTTCTTCTGGTGTCAGGCTGATGAGGTCTCTGGTTTATGTAGCCCTGTCTCTTGGACTCATACTTGTGTCTTTGGTGTTCTTCATTCTCCTTTGCTTCAGGTGGGTTGGGACCAATGAATGCATCTTAGATGGCTGCTCACTAGCTTTTAAGACCCCAGACACCACTCACCAAAGTGGGATGCAAAACAATTTCTTAATAAACTTTGTTATGCCAACTGACCCAGATGTCCCCCAAAACCATGGTCCCCACACCCCAACCCCAGCTACTGTGTCCCTCAAAGTGTTTAGCTGTGTTCAGAAAACTTCTTAGCTATTGCTTTAGTTCAGTTGTGCTGATTTCCCTTGTATTGTGTGTTGTCCTTCCCTTCACCTAAGATGATTCTTGTCTACCATTTATTAATGAATTACCCTCTCCCACCCTCCCTACCCTCGTAACCATCAAAC